AAAAAAAAAAAAAAAAATTATTATGAGTAGGAGTATTTTATGCTAAATATAGAGTTGTTAAACAATACGAGTCGAACTCTTATTAATTAACGCTCGAGTCTTTTATCAAACCTAGTTGTTTACTATATCATTGTTAATTATAAATGTGCTTGAGCACGTTTATTAACTTTAACAATCCGAAGTAAGAAAATATATAGTTCAAAACTACATAGAGAAGCATTAACGCGCCGATCGAGCTAGTTCCATGAGCAGTTCGTTTCGTTTATATATATAGTAAAAATGCATAAATGGCAGCACTAAATTCAAAGGTCAAAGCATGGCCCAAACATGGAAATTGGCCGGTTCAATTTTTTTCCAGCCCTTGATAGGAATGAAAAAGCATGACAAGATCCAAAAATCATGGTTACAGATTAGTCCAATATGCGAGAAAAAGATGTTAAATTGGAATATTAACAGTAGTAATTGATTGATTGATACTATTAAAGGAGGTACAAAAGTCTAATTTTGATAATAAAAAACGTTAAAAAAAAGGTCCAATGATCAATAATTAACGAGGCTGCAGCTAAAAGTCTTTGGTGCAATCACTGATCAAAGATAACTAATAAAAGTCTAAAATCTAACCACGAATGTGTGTGAGAGGTTCACGTTAATTAATTAAGCTTATTATTATTATTATGAATTTGTGTTATAATTCATGCAAAATTTTAAGTACTTGAATTTGTGTTTTCGACTAATATTTTTAATTTCAAATGAATATTTTTGTTTTGATAGATCAAGTAATTTTGTGCAGTAGTTAGAGGATGAAAATAAACTTAGGACATAAATGTACGTAATTCAAAGTCACTATGTTCCATGTTGATCGTTTCTTCCTAAAATCATGCTATATATAGTGATTCAACCCGTCTAATTTTTTAGCTGTCTAATAGGAGTATTGCGTAATTAAAATGTCTCCTAATGAAAACTACGGTACTAGCACGTGAAAGACTACCAAAAACTTGCAAGTTGGAAGAAAATACATACATGTCCAATCAATAACTTCAAAAGAAATGCTATAATTTCGTTACGGAACCATTTCGTCGTAATTTGTAACCGTTAAATCATTATGTAACTGTCGTGAATAGTTGATCTAACGATTACAAACTCCAATAAAATGGTTCCGTAGCGAGAGACCGTAGAATCTCCCTAACTTTAACTTTAAACATATTGCAATTTTGTTTAATAACTTTTGTTATTGGAGAAAATACATGCTAATTAACCAAACTGCATACATTCTATCCAAACATATATATAACTAATTGGTTGATATATATATATATATATATATATATATATATATATATATATATTAATTATGATTCTATACATAGAATCTATTTACATCCATATTGGAAGTTGATCATAAGCGATTAGTTTTAACTTCATGCTTAATTATACAGAAATATATATGCATGATTGAGATATATATGAACACATAAAATTGATGCATAAATACAAAATTAATTAAACCAGTCTACGTTATACCTATATAATTAGTGATTTCTGGCATTGTACTGGAAGTCTATATATTGATCAGGCTTCTAGAAAACACGTAGTTTGCTATAATTTTAGCCAATAATTCAAATATTATTCTAAGTCATCAAATAGAAGAGTTAAATTAATTACAGTCAAATTAAACTTACTCCATCTGACTGAATGAGTTAATTTTGATGGACTTTTATTTAAATACACACTATATAAATTCAGAGAGATATATATATATATATGACACTATTTTTTTTTTTTCGAGTAGTAAAGTATACTCAAGAGTAAGGTTTAAATTAGATATGTATACTTAGGTTAGAATGTTAAATTAGATGTGTACAAGTGTTAGATCAATGTGTGTTCAAAAATTAATAAGAAAAAAAAATGTATTACAAATTTTAATTAAAAATAAATTTATCTACCAACTATTATATATGTCTAAATCTAATGATTCCTCATTATATTGATTATGTGCCCCCGCATAAATAGTAGTATAATAAATAATTTTATTGAAGCAATAATTCTACAATGTCCAGAATATTTTGACAAATTATATGAGCTTAGAATATTCTAGTTAAATGTTATATCCATTAATTAGTACATTCTCATGCACATATATACTTTTCTCTTTAATCTTTGAAATTGAGACGTGAGAAACAGAGAAAATTTCAACACAAGTTGATACTTAATTAATCACGAGACACTAAAAAAATTTAATTTGATTCAATTTCACATATTTGGTGGTATTATTATTATATATATATCATACATGACCAAGTCCTTAATTTTATTCTTATAAATATTTTTCTTTCGTAATACACTGATTTAAATTTCTTAAAATTAATTGAAAATGCTGACTCAGAATTAAGCTTCCAATTTTCCACCAATCATGGTGCAAAATATAAAATTAATGAGCAAATAGCAATGCAAGTAAGTAACTCCTTGCTGATGAGTGATGATCATCTACTATAAATACTCATCTCCATACTAAAGGAAAAATCACTTCTTTTTTTTTTTTTCCCAACTCTTTATATTTTTTTTGTCTAATTAAACAACAATGGCACGCACTTATAGCACAATATCGACATTTTCGACTCGGTTTATGTTCGTTATCATTCTAACGGGAGCTATCGATATAGCTAGGGCCCAATTGACTCCAAATTTCTATAGCCAATCGTGTCCTCGCTTAAATTCCATCGTCAGTCAAATCGTGAATCAAAATGTGTCGGTCGACCCACGTATGGGCGCGTCCCTTCTTCGTCTCCATTTCCATGATTGTTTTGTCAATGTAAGCTTTAGTTACACAACTTTCATGATTTCTTTTTTATTGTACAACTTAAATAATATCTAGAATATATGTTTCAATCGAAGCGAATACTGATCTACAGCTCGATTCAAATTAGCATGAACGAGCTATGACAATTGTAAAAACTGTATAGATTCATGCATGAACTAGAGTTGTAAACGAATTAAATCGAAGCGAATTCTCAACTACTACCCAATTTGAATTAGCATGAATGAGCTATGACAATTGTAAAAAACTATACGTGTATTTCGAGCGAAGAAGAATCGTATGGACGTTCGTTTTTTTTTATTTCTTTTATATATAATGCGATTTTAACGATTGTGATCTTTCGGTAAAAAACCGAAAGGGATGCGATGCGTCGGTTTTGCTTGACGACACGGCGAACTTCACGGGAGAAAAGACGGCACTTCCCAACAACAACTCGTTGAGAGGGTTTGAAGTAATCGACGCCATCAAATCTCAGGTGGAGTCTGCGTGCCCCGGAATCGTCTCGTGCGCCGACATTCTCGCCGTTGCCGCCCGTGATGGAGTTGTCGCCGTTAGTACATCAAAACCCCCATCAATAAACTATTTCCTTTCCTTATTTAAAAAAAAATAAAAATAAAAATTGTCGATATATTATTTTTATCTATCAATGATTTGGGTATATTTTCTTAAAAACTCGATTCAGCTAGGGGGACCGAGTTGGGACGTGGCGTTGGGGAGACGAGACGCTACGAATGCAAGTCGTAGCGACGCGAATAGCCAAATTCCGTCACCTTCCCTCGACCTCTCGGGCCTCGTCTCTTCCTTTTCGAACAAGGGTTTCAATTTGACGGAGTTAGTAGCCTTATCAGGTGCGCGTGATATATATATTAGTTACGAAAAGAATTCAATTAGTCGGCTTAACAAGTCGAAGTTGGTCGGACATGTTAGTTACGAAAATATTTGAGTTTGTAATTTCTATTGGTATTTTGACAATTACTTGTAGTGAAGTTTGACCTCGAAGTCAAATCTCATGAACCAAATAATAGTTATTCATCAAGAAAATCCATTTTTCATCACAAGACTATATTTTTTCGTGCATATATAGGGGGTCACACGATCGGGCAGGCGAGATGCACATTGTTCCGGACAAGGATATATAACGAGACAAACATAAATGCCACGTTTGCGGCAGCCAGGCAAGCCAACTGCCTGTCCAGTGGCGGAGACAACAACCTAGCGCCACTGGACAGTAGTCCCGTGCAATTCAACAACGACTACTTTCAGGATTTGGTGGGTTTGAGGGGTTTGCTACACTCGGACCAGCAACTTTTCAATG